TCTGATCAAACTCTGATCCAGCTCCCGGAATGTGGGGATTCAGTATTGTCACTGTATTGACAAAGCTCCTGGTTTACTTTCGTGAAAGGGTCTTGCGTTGTAGGGCACGCGGCGGCGAATGCCGTCACCTTTGAGCAACATAACTTCAAAGTCCGACCTGAACGCGGAATCTTAATCTTCATTCTCAGAATTTCATTAACCGATTAATTTACACCCGACAATAGATAACGGAACCCTCCGAGGTCGTTTTCGTGTAATCTCCACCGGCCCATGTTCGTTTTTTCTACCGCAAACATTATTAGGTTTGTTAGCAGAATGCAATTTCCAACCGATTGTCAATTTTTCACTGCGCATGTGCGGCGTCAAACTGATTTAAAACCGATTTCAAATTTTGTGCTCTGTGAACAGATTAAAAATGCTGAAGTGAATCGTGACTGAATGACCGTAACCTATAATATTTATTTAAGTATTTCAAATTTATGTTTACGACTTATTTTGAACCAATTCATCGTTTGTTTGTTTTTCACTTCGGTTTTGTTTATAATTAAACGTATTAAAATTATTATGTATGTTATTATCTCGTACTTGACAGCAGAGAACAGCGCTAGTTCAAGCTCAAGATAAAGGTAAAGCCGTGTTCCGCTCTATGCTCACGTACACAATGCTACTGACTGCTATAAAAACACGTGCCATACTCTCATACAAGTTTATTTAGAGTACTTATTGAACCTATGTTTTAATACAAATATTGTCACAAATGAATGAAATTGTCAAAATGCTCAATATTAAGTGAAAATGTATTCAATCATTTCACTGGATGTATTCACCTAGTACCTTCAATATATTCACTCACAACCATTAATGACCTTCTTGTCAATGAATTTAATTTAATTAATGGAACATGTTTTCTATATGCCTAAAAATATAAAATTATTACCAAACCAATTAAAATTGTATCACTTGTCAATTGTCACACTGTGTCACAGAAACAAAGTACTTACCTACTACATAAAAAGAAATTATTAGCGTAATGATTTATTATTATTTTTTAATTTTGAATTGGACATAAAATTAAACACATATTTGGGTAGAAAACTTTTATACTCAAAATGAGAATAAAAGAATATTAAACCGTTTGCAAATATTATAAGTTGATTATGGGATATTTTAATATTCGCAGCTATTTAATACCTACTGAAACAAAGCAGTTTTATGCCTAGGGATCGTTTAGGAAAATATAACTAGTGTCGCGTTAGGCGTAATAAAGTTCTCCATACACACCATTGAAATAGCCGGTCTATGTCTAGTGAATCTACTGACGAATCATTTTAGATGTTAAGTAAATACTGCGGGTGAAACTCAATTCTGGACGGAGCTGTAGTCCGTACAGTAGTTGTTTCCCACAATATCGTTTCTTGAAAAAATTACTTTAAGGTTGATATTTGCAAATGTGTATTCGAAGGCGAATTAATATTCAGCTAAAGCTGAGTAATAAAAATTAAGCATTAAAAATATATCCAATTTTATCGACGTATGCAAAATTTAAATTAACAGAGGAATATATGTTTAACTGGCATATGCAGGAAGTTGCACAATTTAATTGATATTTTCAAGTATTGTTTTGTAATTGGAAACGGGAAATTAAACCGCTCTAAAAATATTATTGGTTATTTAAATAAACAGAAAAACATATTTTGATTACAGCAGTTTTATGTTTCTATCTAAATTGAAATACAATAATAATAATTTTATAATGAAAATAAAGCTTCCTAAAAATGTGAAACTGCTTTTCTTATTAGTAGTTCGTTTAAATATTCGCACAAAGTGCAAAGAAATGTGAATACAAATATTCAGAACAATTCTTATTGCAGAAAGCTGTATTATTTACTCAAACTGGGTATTTTAGAAATAACTGGAAAAATCTAAAGTTTGTATTCGTGTAGCCAGAATAGGAAAAAGTTCTTTGAAGAAAAGTTTTATTTTTAAAATTCTGAAAATAGCTCCTCCACATAATCCAAAGCCTCCTAGATGTTTAAACTGAGACAAACACTTAATAAACTTAAAATTTTAATTCTATATCAAAAAATTATCCGAATTATAAATTGATAAAATTTAAGGTTTTGATTTGTACTGTCTACTAATATTTCAATTTACAAATGATTCTAAAGTGATATAATCNAGTTTATAACCATGAATCGTTTTTAAGAAAAGAAGAACATGTTTTGAGATATTACATTACGACCATTTAAAGAGGTCCTTTTTCGTAATATATTTTAATAATTTTTGAATAAAGGGTGTGCGATAATTACCTATTAAATTGTCGGGAGCTTAGTACACTGTAAAAAAATTTCACACAAATTTCACTCAATTTTACTCAATAATATATCAATTTCTGTCCACATCCGATTGAGTGAAATTTTCACTCTATTAGTATGAGTACAACTGAGTTAAACTATTGCATCAGAAATGTGTGAGTTTACTCAAATCCGAGTAAACTATCAATTGAGCGACTTTTGACTCCATTCTGAGTATATAAAACCAATTTAGAGTTGACTTTTTCTCTAATGTGATTTAAATTTAACTATTATTGATTCATTTTTTTACATATATTTTGATAACATTTTGACAAAAAAACTTTTGCTGAGAAATTATCATTTTTCTCATTTTTTACTATTTAAAAGTTTATTTTCAACTTGGTTCCCTTAAGGTATGACAAACGATTTCAGAGGTTTCTGGTCTTGGTAAAATAGCTAAACAATGTGTAAAAAATAAACTGGTACTTATATGAACAATATAGCAAAAATTCAGAACAGCTTTCTAAGATTCCTTTATTTAAAAAAAGAATACATCGTAACTGATTATAACACTATTTGAAATGATGATTACTAGAACACATAAGCTTGTCCATATCACCACCTAAAACAACCCAATTTGTACCTTTTTAATGCTCCTACTAATTAACCAGGTTTCTGTTCTTTTATTATCAAGATTAGATTTGAAATTAAAACTGAAATTTCACGCTTTTTTATGCGCTATCAAGCAGATAGATGTTACAACCAACCAGTTGGCAAGAATACCCTTTCTATAGTTGCACAGTTTTTGAAACTAGAACATCCTGAAACATATACAGGCCATTCATTCCGAAGAACATCGGCAACGTTACTGGCTAATACAGGAGCTGATGTACTAGCAATCAAGACACATGGTGGGTGGAAATCAGCCACAATTTGAGAAAGTTATGTTGCTGGCAGTTTAAGTAACAAAAATGAAATAGCCAACGGGATTCTTTACAATGACACTTCAGCTCCAGGTTTCAGTAGTACGTCGCATCATGCACGAAGTTGCACAATTTAATTGATATTTTCAAGTATTGTTTTGAAATTGAAAACGGGAAATTAAACCGCACTAAACATATTTTGGTTATTTAAATAAACAGAAAAACATATTCTGATTACAGCAGTTTTATGTTTCTATCAAAATTGAAATACAATAATAATAATTTTATAATGAAAATCAAGCTTCCTAAAAATGTGAAATTGCTTTTCTTACTAGTTGTTCGTTTACATATTCGCATTTGTAAACAAACTGCAAAGAAATGTGCGAATACAAATATTCAGAACAATTCTTATTGCAGAAATCTGTATTATTTACTCAAACTGGGTATTTAAGAAATAATTGGAAAAATCTAAAGTTTGTATTCGTGTAGCCACAAAAGGAAACAGTTCTATGAAGAAACGTTTTATTTTCAAAATTCTGAAAATAACTCCTCCACATATTTAGGTATATCCAAAGCCTCCTAGATGTTTAAACTGAAACAGACACTTAATAAACTTTTAAGTCTATATAAAAAAATTATCCGAATTATAAATTGACAAAATTTGAGGTTTTGATTCTTTCAAAGATTTACAGTCTTTGTAATAAGTATACAATTACAAAAAGCAATGTAACAAAATTTAATAGTTCGGGATACAACTAGAGATCTGAATGCACTTATTAATATTATTATATTTTTTTGTATATCGAATAATAACCAAGCTATTGTACTTGCACGTATCAAACACGTTTAAGCCTTTATTACTAACTGTGAACATTAATTCTTTATTGTTCAAAATTGGTAAAAGAAATATGTCAAACTGGTGAAGCCGCTGTAAATCATTTTTTTTTCAACTGTGTGACAAATTTTCTTCTTCAAAGCCATAAAGGGGCAGTTTCTAAAGAACAATAGTGTGACTGCTTTGATGTTACTAAATAATAATAAACAACCAGTATCAGAATACTAAAAATGTAGTTAGCTTTACATTAATTTTTAATTATATATCTTTTTGTTAAATTATAAGAAAGATGCATATTTTTATGCCTTTTTCGGATTATGAAGAGAAATTAGTGATAAGTTGCACCATTCTCGAAATAAACTAAAAAAACGGAAAATGAAAATCGTTATGTATTCATAAAGCGATATGCTCTATCTGTTGGAAGGTCAAAGCATTTTCCTGGCCTCTTAGGTCCTTATGTTTTTATCACCAACTTTTGATTTTCTTATGGGCGCCATATTGGATTTTTGCACCATTAGACGAAGCATAAAATTTCGTATTCAATGATGTATAATACTTAGATAAAGAGATTTTATTAAGGGACAAAAAAGGCCAATTTTATGATTATTATTATTTCGATCGTTGTAGCAATGAAAAAACAAAAATTTTGAAATTTCTGTTTAAAAGTAAACAATCTAACATTTACTACTGTAAATAAATATTAAGTATTGCTTCATTTTTCAAGTTTCTTATCTTACTACTGTAACATCTGTCTACTCAAACAGAATTGAAGGGAAATTCCTAAATACTGATTCATTTAATTCTGATTATCTATTTTTGGAAAGATTCGCGAATAAAAATAAACCCTTATTTAACACAATTTATTGCCAACTTAACAACATATGTACAAGGTATGCTTCCCAATATTAGTATTACAGTCAAGGTGTGGCCATCCAGTCAGGGTTTACCTAAATATTAGTGGGGAAGGTGAGCTCCAGTGGGTTGGAATCCATTTTCATCAGCAACAAAATCAAGTGAATATGGTGTTCCGTCAAGATCCACCCACTTGATGCTTCCTGTGACCTTCAGGCTCTCTTTGTCTGTCCCGATGTTGTTGAGAACTCCCTGTTCAGTGCGTTTCAAACCGTCGCTGGTCTCGACGCTAAAAGAAAACAATTCATTTAGAGATCGTAATATCGTTTTTTTATTTCTACAACTATACGTTATTTATACAGGGACGAAAAGTACCGATGGTCCATCTGCCGTTACGTGAGAGCGATAAAGTAAGTCATAGAAATTCGTGTGATAGAGAAAGATGGCTATAATGAAGGTGTCTAATAGAAACCGCCCATTTCGCCCTTCCACAAATAAGAGGTGGATCTTATTTGTGGAAGGGCGGAACGGGCGGTGACTATGAGACGCCTTCAGTATAGCCGTCCTTCTCTATCGCACGGATTTGTATGTCACTTTATCGCTCTCACGTAACGGCAGATGGACCATCGGTACTTTCCGAACCTGTATACAATCCAACATGCAGAATCATCTTAAATTCTTATCCAAGGTCAAAATGAAAAGGAAAATTAATAATTCACTATTAGAACACGTAATCATATAAAATTTAATACTTTTTTTCTTATTGTGATATCTTTACGTTTACTGTCTTTGACCTTTTCGCGGTAATCGTTTGAAGCTCGTCGTTTATTAATTTTTTATATTTTATAGCAGAAATTGTGTATACGTATTTTAGTAATTTTATATCAAAGTTGCTATTATTACTAACTTTCAATCTAGCTCGTTTTAAAATGTGTACATTAATAACAATGTAATATCTATCTCTACTCTTCATACTAATCGCAAGGATAGACCCAAAGGTAGAAGATTTATGCCGGTATATTATTATTCAGTTGAACAGCCGGAAAACTGAAAATTAGGAGGATGCTCATCCCATCTACGATCTTCTGGACTTAGGGATCGAACCTATATTCTCGACAACAATAATGCAAGTCATCGACAAAATATATGGTTCAAGACTTCTGAGAAAGACAAATGCTATAAATATTAAATATTTATCAATAAACAGTCGGTTGGTGGCCGAGCGGTTCGAGGCGTCAGTACTTGAATGAATGAAAGCCACTATCGCAGGTTCGATCCTTGCGGCCGTAAGACCGTATATCATCTATACTCGTTGAGAGGAGTTGTCTTGGATCACTGTGACAGACTGATACCGGCCGGCATTTGACCATCTCCCAAATTAATGAGGTTTTCCAGTTTTCCCTTATTCCTGCACCGAATGGTGGTTAGGGCCTACCAACATAAGTCGTTTCTGAGCGCACATGCGACCTACTGAATAATAATATACCGCCCCCTGTGCCGACTTCTGGACTAATCCTTGCGATTAGAATGAAACTAATAAATGAATAGTGAAATTCCCTGCTTCATATTTTTATGATTTCAGTCAATTTTCCTACCGTTACTTACTCAAATGTGTATCCATCGACACCAATGTTTTCAAGTTCATTTTTCAGGACTGTAGCATCTGGAGGGGCAGCAATGCATACAGCTACTAAAGCAGCGATGGCGATAAACTAAAAAATATATAGATTATTGCTGGCGAAAGTAACAAATAAATATAGTATAAACGAAGATACTAAAAAAGTAATAAAAAACTGACATTGTTGTCGATTTAATCTAAAAATTTACAAAGTAAATAAATATTTACAGAATATGGCATTATAAAGTAAGTTTCCAGATATATGTAGTTGCAAAACAAATTTGGCTTTTTAATGATATTCGCATGTTAGTTTTGTTAACTTAAAATTACATTTATTTGTATTTTTTGGAAATAATTCTTAGCTGTTGATATATAATTAACTATTAAATAGATCTTAAGAGTGGCCATAATGGAAAACTATATTATCCTCCAAAATTGAAAATATTCAGCTTATTATAATTTAATTAATTTTATTTTCAATAAATTGTAGTTTTGTATGAACTTTTTTATTTGAATTTAATCGCAGTATTAAGGAAATAATTGTTTCTAAATATGGACATTCTCATGGTATATTAAATAAACCTACCTCTGTTGAAGATACAAAAACTAGTTAATAAAATAATTGAAATATGTAGGCAATTGGTAACTGGTACTGCGTGAATTTATAAAAAATTACGAAAAAATGTGTTTATCCTTAAGCAACATGTCAATTAACGAATTAATTTACTTATATAACAAATGCATTAATGTTTCAATAATTAAAATGATAGTCAAAATTACGTAATTATTCATAATACTTACTACATTCATTTTGGATTGTACTTGTTGATTGCACTGAAGACAACATGGAATTGCTTGTATTGGGATGTAAAATTCTTTATATACCTATCTCTTAATTAGTAGCTGTACTCCCACTATTTTAGATTACAGAGATAGTAACGATTATTTAAAGATGGCTCATTAGCATAATGTCTAATAAAGGTTACAGGTGCTTCGTCCTGTTAGGCGAAATTTTTTCTGCGTGAATATGGTATATTTCCAGATATTTCCAGCCCTGAGTATTATTAAATTGGACGTTAATCACCTATCTGTTGATGCAATTTTATATAGTAATGATATAATTTAACTTTTGGAAAGAATTGGGAACCAGAGATTAATCAGCTATGGTGAGAAATCTGAAATACGTAATAACGTTGCTACTGGACAAATGTGTCTAATTGTAAAATTATATATTTTTTTAAATGGAGACTATGAAAATAATTCTTTAAATTTATTTATTAATTATTTACCTGTTGCGTGTTTAATAATCCATAATAAAATTGTATAAACACAACGTATACGGAAATTATGAGCAAATGTTTAGGGGTTGATTCTACTCAAGAACAAATAGTACAAGTTTCTACAATTATTTAAAAAATAAATGAAGCAGCTTAACCTTAAATTTAATTTTTTAAATGAATATTTTACCGTAGTTTTACTTCAATTAATACATTTTTAAATTACACACAAAGAAAAAAGCGAACATCAAATTTCTGAGGTTTTTTAAAGTCCATAAAAGATTCTTTTGGAATAGAGTATTGAAAAATTACATTTTTAATTGCTTTTTAAAAAATTATTTCAATACTTAAAAAAGAGTCTGCAGAGACATCTTGTTCTAGTTTATAACCATGAATCGTTTTTAAGAAAAGAAGAACATGTTTTGAGATATTACATTACGACCATTTAAAGAGGTCCTTTTTCGTAATATATTTTAATAATTTTTGAATAAAGGGTGTGCGATAATTACCTATTAAATTGTCGGGAGCTTAGTACACTGTAAAAAAATTTCACACAAATTTCACTCAATTTTACTCAATAATATATCAATTTCTGTCAACATCCGATTGAGTGAAATTTTCACTCTATTAGTATGAGTACAACTGAGTTAAACTATTGCATCAGAAATGTGTGAGTTTACTCAAATCCGAGTAAACTATCAATTGAGCGACTTTTGACTCCATTCTGAGTATATAAAACCAATTTAGAGTTGACTTTTTCTCTAATGTGATTTAAATTTAACTATTATTGATTCATTTTTTTACATATATTTTGATAACATTTTGACAAAAAAACTTTTGCTGAGAAATTATCATTTTTCTCATTTTTTACTATTTAAAAGTTTATTTTCAACTTGGTTCCCTTAAGGTATGACAAACGATTTCAGAGGTTTCTGGTCTTGGTAAAATAGCTAAACAATGTGTAAAAAATAAACTGGTACTTATATGAACAATATAGCAAAAATTCAGAACAGCTTTCTAAGATTCCTTTATTTAAAAAAAGAATACATCGTAACTGATTATAACACTATTTGAAATGATGATTACTAGAACACATAAGCTTGTCCATATCACCACCTAAAACAACCCAATTTGTACCTTTTTAATGCTCCTACTAATTAACCAGGTTTCTGTTCTTTTATTATCAAGATTAGATTTGAAATTAAAACTGAAATTTCACGCTTTTTTATGCGCTATCAAGCAGATAGATGTTACAACCAACCAGTTGGCAAGAATACCCTTTCTATAGTTGCACAGTTTTTGAAACTAGAACATCCTGAAACATATACAGGCCATTCATTCCGAAGAACATCGGCAACGTTACTGGCTAATACAGGAGCTGATGTACTAGCAATCAAGACACATGGTGGGTGGAAATCAGCCACAATTTGAGAAAGTTATGTTGCTGGCAGTTTAAGTAACAAAAATGAAATAGCCAACGGGATTCTTTACAATGACACTTCAGCTCCAGGTTTCAGTAGTACGTCGCATCATGCACGAAGTTGCACAATTTAATTGATATTTTCAAGTATTGTTTTGAAATTGAAAACGGGAAATTAAACCGCACTAAACATATTTTGGTTATTTAAATAAACAGAAAAACATATTCTGATTACAGCAGTTTTATGTTTCTATCAAAATTGAAATACAATAATAATAATTTTATAATGAAAATCAAGCTTCCTAAAAATGTGAAATTGCTTTTCTTACTAGTTGTTCGTTTACATATTCGCATTTGTAAACAAACTGCAAAGAAATGTGCGAATACAAATATTCAGAACAATTCTTATTGCAGAAATCTGTATTATTTACTCAAACTGGGTATTTAAGAAATAATTGGAAAAATCTAAAGTTTGTATTCGTGTAGCCACAAAAGGAAACAGTTCTATGAAGAAACGTTTTATTTTCAAAATTCTGAAAATAACTGCTCCACATATTTAGGTATATCCAAAGCCTCCTAGATGTTTAAACTGAAACAGACACTTAATAAACTTTTAAGTCTATATCAAAAAATTATCCGAATTTGATAAAATTTGAGGTTTTAAATCTTTCAAAGATTTACAGTCATTGTAATAAGTATACAATTACAAAAAGCAATGTAATGATATTTAATAGTTTGGGATACAACTAGAGATCTGAAGGCACTTATTAATATTTTATATTTTTTTTGTATATCGAATAATAACCAAACTATTGTATTTGCACGTATCAAACACGTTTAAGCCTTTATTACTAACTGTGAACATTAATTCTTTATTGTCCAAAGTTGATAAAAGAAATATGTCAAACTGATGAAGCCGCTGTAAATCATTTTTTTTTCAACTGTGTGACAAATTTTCTTCTTCAAAGCCATAAAGGGGCAGTTTCTAAAGAACAATAGTGTGACTGCTTTGATGTTACTAAATAATAATAAACAACCAGTATCAGAATACTAAAAATGTAGTTAGCTTTACATTAATTTTTAATTTATCTTTTTGTTAAATTATAAGAAAGATGCATATTTTTATGCATTTTTCGGATTATGAAGAGATATTAGTGATAAGTTGTACCATTCTCGAAATATACTAAAAAAACGGAAAATGAAAATCGTTATGTATTCAAAAAGCGATATGCTCTATCTGTTGGAAGGTCAAAGCATCTTCCTGGCCTCCTAGATCCTTATGTTTTCATAACCAACTTTTGATTTTCTTATGGGCCCCATATTGGATTTTTGCACCATTAGACGAAACATAAAATTTCGTATTCAATGAAGACTTAGGTGAAGAGATTTTATTAAGGGACAAAAAATGCCTATTTTATGATTATTATTATTTCGATCGTAGTAGCAATGAAAAAACAAAAATTGTGACATTTCTGTTTAAATGTAAACAATCTAAAACATTTACTACTGTAAATAAATATTTAAGTATTGCTTAATTTTTCACGTTTTTTATATCACTAGTGTAAAATCTGTCTACTCAAACAGAATTGAAGGGAAATTCCTAAATACTGATTCATTTAATTCTGATTGTCTATTTTTGGAAAGATTGGCGAATAAAAATAAACCCTTATCTAAAACAATTTATTGACAACTTAACAATATATGTACAAGGTATGCTTCCCAATGTTAGTATTACAGTCAAGGTGTAGCCATCCAGTCAGGGTTTAAATATTAGTGAGGAAGGTGGGCTCCAGTGGGTTGGAACCCATTTTCATCAGCAACAAAATCAAGTGAATATGGTGTTCCATCAAGGTCCACCCACTTGATGCTTCCTGTGACCTTCAGGCTCTCTTGGTCTGTCCCGATGTTGTTGAGAACTCCCTGTTCAGTGCGTTTCAAACCGTCGCTGGTCTCGACGCTAAAAGAAAACGATTCATTTAGA